ATAGCCAAAGTTCCAGCAATAGCATGCTAATGAAACTCAATTCACTTACCTAGACAGGTTGAATTCAGCATTTGGGTGGTTTTGTGATTGGCATGGTGTAAAATTAGGTGTGGTATGGAGGTTCATGGACAACCACCCTAGTGATGTTAGAACATTAATTCCCACCGCGAGAAGCGTTGGATGGAAATTCAGGAGAGGCAGTGGGAGACAGCCACCCCCACGGGACCCAGTAATCCTTTGGAATTCTCTGCTACAAGATGCGGAGTCAGGTGCCTGCTTTGCAGCGGCAACAGGGGTTAGACATATTCAAAAAGGTAGCAGAGTCATATTTTAGAAAAAAGTTACTATTTGAACTTCAGTGCCCAGAATTTGCCACCTTCCTGGTAGTGGGTGGGTTTTTGGAAGTGTCTCAGACCTTTTCCAGCAGGCCCTTAATACTTTATCAGTACTGGGAGAAAGTTATTGGTATCTCCTGGCTGTTTATGGGGTGCGCCTTATTGGCCACAGTGAGGAACAGAATGCTCGACCGGCAAGGCCTTTGCCAGCCTTTTGGAGAGACGTTTCACTTGGTAACAGCCCTGCTGAGGTATTAGAGGTTGTATATATGCAAGCTGTGGGGTACTTTAGCCACCCACCACTGGGTCATCACTACTATCACCTTCCTATTCATGTAGAAATTGAGAGAGAGAGGAAGAGATCCATTGTTTGCCGGGTTCCTCATGTGAGTAAGGACTGTCAAAGATGAGGATCACAATTCATATGGAGAGTGTACACAGCACATCTCTCTCTCTCTCTCTCTCTCTCTCTCTCTCTCTCTCTCTCTCTCTATCTCTCCAGACATGTTGTCCTTCACGTGAAGTAGGGAGACAAAACTGGGATAGAGCGAGGCAGGGCTGTACATGGATTATTATAAGTCTTCAAACAGGGCTGTTGTATTGATAACATGTAAAGAGAGAGTTTTTCGAGTAGTGATGTACAGAAGTGAGAGCTGGACCATAAAGAAGGCTGACTGCCAAAGAATTGATGCTTTTGAATTGTGGTGCTGGAGGAGACTCTTGAGAGTCCCCTGGACTGCAAGGAGAACAAACCTATAAATTCTAAAGGAAATCAATCCTGAGTGCTCACTGGAAGGACAGATCCTGAAGCTGAGGCTCCAATACTTTGGTCATCTCATGAGAAGAGAAGACTCCTTGGAAAAGACCCTGATGTTGGGAAAGAGTGAAGGCAAGAGGAGAAGGGGACGAGAGAGGACCAGATGGTTGGACAGTGTAATCGAAGTGACCAACATGAATTTGACCAAACTCTTGGAGGCAGTGGAAGACAGGAGGGCCTGTCCTGCTCTGGTCCATGGGGTCACGAAGAGTCGGACACGACTAAACGACTAAACAACAGCAGCAAAGAGAGGGACGTGGGCCCCACAGGCTAATTTCTCCTTCCTGTGTAGGAAGAAATTGCATGAACTGCTGGATAGCTCAGGGGTGTAGGCATCTGGCTGCAGAGCCAGAGGTTGGGAGATCGATTTCCCCACTGTACCTTTTTGACAGGGGCCGGACTCCGTGATCCATAGGGTTCCTTTCAGCCCTGACGTTCTGCGATGGTGATGGTGATTAAGTACCTACTCAACTATACTTCTGGTTAATCATTATGGGGGGAGTCGGGGACTTGTAACACAACAGTCCTCAAGGGCGCTGGGGAGCAGGGGGCTGTTCTAGACTGACAGCCTGTCTCTCCCAGTCTTTGAGGATTTTCCCAGTACACGGCGAGGCCTTCTTCTGCACAATATGACTTTTCCACATGCCGTGTTGAAAGATTAAACAGAAATATAAAGCAGCACTGTGGATCATTTCCTTTGATCTGCATCTCGAGAAGACGTTTCTGTCGAAGGCGGTGAGCTGTTTGGCACGGGAACTAGAAAGCCCCTCTGAAGAAATGTGAACAACAAAAACAAAACCCAGATAAACAAATTTTTAAAACTTATTTCCTCAGCTAGTTCTTCAAGCCATTCAAACCCCCTCAAACCAGAGAGATACGTGGGGCTCAGGTACAGTGGTGCCTCGCTAGACGATGATAATCCGTTCCACTGAAATTGCTGTTTAGCGAAATCATTGTCTAGCGAAAAGCACTTCCCCATTAGAATGCATTGAAACCTGTTTAAGGCGTCCCAATGGGGAAGAATCGTCATCTAGCGAAGATCGGCCATAGGAAAACCGCTTTGCGAACTGCTGATCAGCTGTTTAAATAGCTGTCTTGCGAAGCTTAGGTCCCGATAACACCCGTTTTGCAAGCACGGAGGGAGCTGTCAAAATCGTTGTCTAGCGAAAATCGGTTTGCAAAGCAGGGACCAAACACTGTCCAGAGAAATTCCCCCATAGGAATCACTTTTTTGCGAATCGCTATAGCGATCACAAAAAGTCAATGTCTAGTGAAAAAATTGTCATGTGGGGTAACTGTCTAGTGAGACACCACTATACAGTACTTGGATTCGAAACAAACCTAGCTAGAACTACCCGTCAGAATGTGGTTTCCAAGCAAGGAAAACACACAGCCCCTGTTACATCCGCAGTATTGCATTTTTAATCAAATGTCCCTCCAGGAATTCAGCCAGCAAAAAGAAGAAGCAGCAAATTTTGCAAAATAAAAAGATGGGATTTTAGGGCTCAAGCCTGGGGAATGTTGGTGTAAAAAGTGAGTTGTTGATGTTAATTCAGAAACTAATTTGCAGCCATTAACTAGTTTAATGAACTTACTAAGAAAAATCAATTTATCACAGTGCTAATGGCCTGCCATTTTATTATGAAATGCTGTGCTACCTCGGCTTTGGAACTTGATATATTTTTGTTTTTACTTTTACTGTTATCGTCTTGATGGATTGTTTCTTTGTTATTGCTTGGTTCTTTTTTAATGTTTGTTCAGCATCCAGAATAGCATTAATGAGATGGTATATACATTCATGAAATAAAGAGTTTTGTCTAAAGTTCCATTGTGTAACTTGTGATGGAATCAAGGAGCAATGATGTCGCTGAAGAGGTAGATTGCCCAGCTCAGCGCCTGATGGGATCCCTCCTTGATCTACGTGTCAGGTACTTTCATGTATGATCTGGTAACTACCGTGTTTCCCCAAAAATAAGAAAGGTCTTATATTAATTTTTGCTCCCCCCAAAAAAGCATTAGGTCTTATTTTCAGGGGATGTTTTATTTTACAGTCATGTCATCTTCTGGTTGCTGCACAATGCGGCAGAAGGGTGGAGGGCGGGGTTTCACTTAACTGGGGCTTATTTTTGAGGTTTGCTGCTTGAAACAGTAACGTGTTACCTGTCCAGCCCAGGCTATAGATCACAATCAAGACATAAAAGTTTGCTCTGCTCAGTAATGATCTCCACTGAGATCAATAGGTTTTCTCCTAGGTATGTATGTACAGGAGTGCATCCTCACCGAACAGCCTGGATGCGGTTCCATGCTGAGTTGTACGACTCGGTATGCAGCAGTAAATGCCTGCACTGACATTTTAATATCGTAGTTTATTGCAAAGATTTATTATGCTGGTGGGGATAGGTTATTGTCTGTGCTTGCCAGCATAGCTAATATTATACATAGATATACATACATACAGTACATCCCAAGAGGTTTATATATAAACATCAATCTGTTGGGATATATGTATGTATGTATGTATGTATGTATGTATGTATGTATGTATGTATGTATGTATGTATGTATGTATTGGCTATCAACTCGTCCCCATCCGATTAATATCACAAGGATTTAAATAATGACTTTTGCAATGGTTGTTAAAGATTTGTGGCAAATTATTTTCAAGCTCTGACAGTGATCTGGATCTATTGATTTTTCAGGACCAGAAATGGGGCCATTTGGCAGAAATGTGATGCCTGGCTCACTGCGCGCGCATACACACACACACACACACACACACACACAAACACACACACACA